CTAGGACATGGGGTGGGGGATGGGGGGATGTATATGGAAGCTTGGTGAGAGATTTCTACAGAGCATGGGTCTGAGACACAGTAGAAAAATGAAACTAAGTCAGATTTCCATTGCATCACGCAAACCCTTTGTTGATTAGGAACAATGGCTTAGTATGTAAATTCCTAACCATATGAGTACGTCTATTTGGGTGTAGAGCACATAGAGCCAGGTTTATATGAAAACACTCAGTTTTTGAAAACACTAGGTTTTTTCATAGCTCTATATTCTAAAGCTTTTAACAAATAATAAAAAGTGAAACGTAAAAAGTAACTTGCATATTTAAGTAGTATTTCAATTTTTACAAAAAGCTTGTTTAACATTAGTTGAAAGAAACTGAATTTCCAAAATACATTTTCAAATGTTAGAATATTTTGATGCAGTTAAAACTAGCATTTTGAAGCAGTTTGCTTTTAATATACCACAAATTATACTTTATTTGTTCTTGACAACATTGTAGAAAAACAAAGAGTAGGTTTTTAAAACTGTCTAACCAATATGATGAATGTCAGTCACTTAAAAAAAAAATCCACTGTAGCATAAACACATACTGTATACAGCTTTTATTCAGAATTAGAATAATTGAATCAATGACAGTGATTTGCCGGGATGTCAAATCTCTCCATCATATCCTGTCACTACCAGTTTATTTTTTGTGATCAAAATCAAAAAGACAACTATTTTGTCACCCTCTATTTCATTAGTACTAAAAATCAGGTTTCTTCTATTTTTTTAGAATGTCTGTTTTATTTTTTTCACTTCTTTTAATTCTAAAGACACAAATTCTTCCCCATTTTCTTTTCAAAATAAAGTTTCAGAATTGATCTGTCAGTTAAAATTAAAAGGCTTTTTATATTAAGCAAAGGTGCTTTTAAAATTTAAAGCAACTTCAAAAAAATCGATTTAGTCCACAGACAATAATGTTGTGCAGATACTCCAAAAAAGCTCTGCTGTGTCCTTTTAAAGCATTTAGACAATTTGAATAAGTTAAATGAATATTTTAGTCAGGTTATTATTTTAATAACTCTAACCTTTTTCTTACTGTGTTGTGACTCATTTAGACACACACACAACGGAACAATTATATAGCATTTGACTCTGAAAAGGAAATGTGAGGTCATCAAATATGTAAATTGCTTGTCAAAATACTTAATAGGTCATTGATTTACTACCCTGGCTACCATGTCTATAAAATTAACAGCCAATTACTGGTTAATATATGCTTTGCAAATACATAAATACTATAAAAATTGAATGTGCATATTTGAACCCTTATTTTAAACATAAAAGAAACTTTTCAAACTCAGTAAAAGTGCATTTTGAAAAATAAGAGTACCTGGGCTTTCCAAAAATCAGATCCAAGTGCTTTGTTTTTTTGATTCACCAAGCAGGCTTTGTAAAAATAAGCTACTGGGGAGGGGTGTGTAGTGTATTGTTTTCCTCAGATAAAAACCCACTCCAAAAATGTGTTTCCTTCCTTCTAGGAACATTATTCCTTCTCCATTATGCTAATAACTTAATACATAACAATACTGGTCTTCAAGTTGCTACTGTAGGTATACATACCATTTTGATATGTTATGAAATACAGACTCTATCAACAGATTCTCTTTATTTCCAATTATCAACTTGATTCAAAGATACAAATATTTAAGAACAACGTCAAACATAGTATCTGAATGTCCTCATACCTTTTAAATGTTTCTAGTTTGTGAACTTCAAAACCCTATATATGGTGTTCATTTCTTACGCTAGACTTGCCTTTCTTTAACATGAGGTAAATATTTTGACTACTGCAGTCAGCTCAGGTGCTGGGGTTCTAAGGCCCTCTGAATTTCTAGTTAGTAGCCACAAGACAATTTCCACGTTTCTCTTGTCCATTTTTTATCTTCAACTCCAAGATCTTCAAATACTAACAAATACTAGACAAAGTAAAACTACTTCAAAGGGGAGAAATACTATAATCAATTCCCTGTTTATCTTTTAATCTTGGAGAATCACACATATGCATACAGAAGGGAAGTTGGGGGAAACCCTATTCATTTGTTTAAGCCCTTTATTATCAATGTCATTTCTAAGACATCGTCCCACTGCTTTACAAAAATAGTCACCAGCCGCAGCATCATGAATTTAAGTTAAGCAAGGCCAACCCTAAGCACTGACACTTTGAAACTTTAAAACTGAGCCACTAACTCATTCAGGACTAAGAAATGGGAAGAATGTGTGTTTGGCTTTGGTGAACCAAACTTGTACAGAGAAGAAAAGCCATTTGTAAAAATCTTGTTAACATTAAAAGCAGAACAGAAAGAAATGAGCAGAAGAGTACACTCTGACCTGAAGATGACAAACCTTCACAGAACAAAACTGAATCTTAGATAATACTGTACAAACAAACCTTAGGAAATCTAGTTATGACAAAAATAAGAAGAAATGATATGTGAGCTGCAACAAGAAGCCAACCATCCACCACTTAAGAGTTAGCTCAGGTTTGCGGAAAAAAAAATGTTCTGGGAATTCATTACAGTAAAGAAAAAACGTTTTACTTAATTTGAATGTTTATTATACGAACATTCAGTTCTAATTCTGTTCACTTAAGTGTCTCTAAGTAGGTCAAATTTGGAGAAAAATTCTAAGCTGTTAGTCCTTTGATTCTACTGAGGCTATCACAAATAGATGGTCTCCATTCTGGAAGATGGTGTCAAAACATCCCCGCAGAGTTTCCATTGATAAATATATAAATATACCTATCAGTAAATAAATAAACAAAATAAATTATTTCAACAGTGAGTAAAAGGCCAAGTCCCAGGCACTGCTACCACACAGTGTCTGCCATGCTGTCCCTGGGAGAGTACCTAGAGCTCTGTTCAGAAGGACAGCCTATCTCCCTAGGGTGAGGGCAGAAGGCAAGGCAGCTGTTCCCACCGTGCTGGACCAGAGGGCTTCTGCAGCTGAGCAGCCACTTCTTCACACTAAACCAGGCTGTGCCCTGGCAACCCTGACCCTCAGAGGACACGCATACGTGCCCAAGTGCACACAGACCCTCAGCTCCCACAGCAGTCCCCTTCTCCCAGCCCCTGCTCCTGCACCCACAGCACCACACTCAGTTCTCCAAGGTCTACACATTCTACACAACAGAGCCATGGGCCAGGACTGGATGCGTGACCCTGGCCCAACATAGCCAGTTGGAAACGGTCCCTTCTTGCAAGGAAGAAGAGAGCCAGCCAGCAGCTGCGTACACACTCACACATAGCCCTTCTCTGACAGTTCCCTCAGCCCATGTCCCTCGGAATACAGGCTACAAAATGTCAGGAGGTAGAAATATGTGCATGGGCAACTACCAACAGTGTCTAAGTGCACACTCGAGAAGTGTGCTAGTGTACAGTGCAGGTGGACACTATGAAACCACATGCACATTTACAAAAGCTGCAGTCAACTTAGAAAGATGCCTCTGTGTGCAACAACTCAGAATAAAATTACTAATATATAGCATGCTTGGAGAGATGAACCACAGTGACCTGTTCATAAGTAATTCCTTAACTATAAAACAGTAGACATTGGACTAGAAGGTTGTTTTTAAAATCCTCCATTTAATTTCTGTATTTCTGATCATTTGCCTTTAGGGATTAAAAATTTGGGAGGAAAGAAAAAAAAAAAAAAAAAGCAGAGTACAATTCAGTGGAGTGTGTCTTTGTCCCCAGAGGTTTCTGCATGTGCAAACATTTAAACCAGACTGCCAGAACTCCCAGCCTTTTGACTAAAGTTTGCAGAAGAAAACTTATCTATAATTGACTTATAAGTTGCACAGAACAGACAGAAATAAAAGTCTCAGACAGGCCCTTTTTCACCCAACAAAGGCTTTTTTTTTTTTTCCATCCTTTGCTTGAGCTCAAGCACTCCTGCCCTGTGTGCTGCCACTTTAAACATGATCAGATCTGTGCTTCACTGCAAATAACAACTGACCAACAATGGGGCCTGCTTCATAGATTTGGGGATGTTTGGCTAAAGCTGCCAATGACTGAAGGCCTTTAACTCCCACCGGCCAGTCACAGTCCGCTTTGTTGTTGTCTGTTGATGTGTCTGTGCTCATTATTCCTTGACATGCAACATCCCCCCCTCCACCCTCCAACCATCCACAACCGCACAGAAAGCAAGATTCAAATGGGAACAGCTGTAGTGGTTCAATGGGAAATGATGCCTCTTGTGCAAAGGGTTGAGGGACAGAAAAGGGAGAGGGCCTATTTGAGAAAGGCAGCAGCTTTCAGAGAGTCTTCTATAAGGAATCTACTTTAGAATATACTTCAGTGAAATCACTCTTGAAATAGACTGACAATGGAAATCTGCACAGATTGAAAATGCCAGTCCTAATTCAAAAGACAATTCCTATTTAATAGCTTGTTTCATTTTAAAATTATTTCTATCCTTTGAGCTTTTGAATTAAATGGTTAACTATGGGAAATAGTACCATTTTTGTGTACATGTTGTGGGTATAAATGGGCACAGGTCTATATTCCACTTTAAGTGGAATTCTTTTTCTAACACATTTCTGATTTGCACTATATATAAGAATTATTTCTTTAATAATCTTCAGGATTTAAAATAGAGTATGTACGGGAAGTAACAGTTGGTTTCAAAGGTTAATCTAACATGGAAACAAAATTTGCAACACCACACTATAAGGTGAAAAAGAAAATAGTATAATAAAGGAAATACAAAGGCTTTGGCATGGTTTTTACAATCAACAATGATTAATTTTGATATGTAGTTGTGAACAACTTCAAAACACTTAAGTTTAAAACTCTTGCAAGCACTTTTAATTGATTAAGAATGAATTCTAGATGCACAAAATGATTGGACTGTGAACAGTAACACAACTATATCTAAGAACAATTAACTTTTGCTGGCCAAAAAGAAACGTATGATTGCATGGAAATGTGTATAAAACAGCTATAGCGTATTCTTGTCAAATATAAATGAAATTAACTTTATTATAGAAATCATTCTGAGGATTTCTAGGGAAGACAAATACTTACATTTTGACATAAAACAAATTGTATTATATCGAAGACACAATCTACCTTTTAACTATCAACTTTTTTCTTCCTTGAATTTATATCTTACCCTTTTTTGCACATAAACTTCATCTGTTAACAACCTTTGGAAAACCAACAGATATTTCTTACATAAATCTAGTGCATGTTGTTCCAGGTTTAATTATATGCAAAAGAATGATACAAACTTGGAACCTCAGTCCATAAACTATGAACAGATGGGTAGAAGTATTCGATATATCTTGATAAAACTCTCAAATTCATGGCAGAGCTTGTTGATCATGGTTTTTTAAAAAAAAAAACAACTTCATGACCAACACAGATCAAACATCCATCCAGTCTACGTTGTTCTTTTTTTTTTTTTTTTTCATTATAACATACAAATGCCCATTTACAAATAATACACCAAAATGAATAAAAGTTTGGATACCAAAATGAAGATTTGTTCCAACTGATAACCACGCCTTCTGTATACAAAGGTCCTTGTCTCAAGTCCGTCCCCCAGCAACACGGTAAAGGACACAGTTGCAGAACTGAAGTGCTTCTATCAGCCCATTTTTCTTTCCTTCCTGAATGCCCAACTGTTGTGTCCACATAGTCACTGACTGAAATAACACAATATTTTTTTTTCTTTCCTTTCTTTTTCTTTACTGTAATCTTGGCCAATATTGAGACATATCAGGTTCACTTCCAGGAACTTGAACTGGAACTGACACACCAGGGGAAATGAGGCCTAAAAGTGGATGAAAGAAATAGCCATGTAGATATTCCCTTTGAGAGGCAGGCGTGGAGTATTATTTGTAAGTTAAAAAATTCTAATGCTTTCTAACATTTTAACTATATTAAAAAATCCTTTCAAGTGTTAACAAAAGAAAGTAGCACCTTCAGAAACTAGACAATATGTTATTTACACAGACTTACTGAATCCCAAATCCCCCATCCAAAAAATAGAAAAAAACCTCCACTTGTTTGTATGTTTGGAACATTAGCAATAAAACTCTCTCTAGAAAACCAATGTGGTACTTCTTCAGTTGCAATGAAAAGCCTAGAGGAGTTAGGTGGGAAGTCTCCCAGACAGCACTCACTGAGCAGCTCAGGGGGCCCTCACTGTGTGCTTTGGCTACTAATGTACCCTCATAAAGTTTAGTCTCAAGCTTTTTTTCATATATAACTTCTGTGACCAAATTAAGGAAAAATAACTTTTTTTTCTTACATGGTATCAAGTTACTAACTAATGTGACTGAATTTTTCCATTTCAATTCAGTTTTTCCCCAGAGAAGTGGGCAACACAGAGTTAAGCACACCTTCACACAAAACCAGGAGTCGTTTGAGGCTAACTTTAAATGAAGGAAGAAGATCAACCAGCAAAAGAAGTTATAGAGACTACCTCTGCACAGCCTACGGAGAGCAACGGCTCACCTGTTGAAGTGGTGCCGGAGGTGCCCATTGGCTGACTGTTCATGTGTGTCTGCATATGTGGTGGGGTGTAGGTGTCATAACTCCGCCCATTCACCGATGGACTGGTGGGCAGCATGCAGGAGTAGGAGGAGGTCTGGCTGGGGACTGGGGGCTACGAGGAGAAAGGCAAACATGTCGTTACCGAGAAACATACCACATACGCCATGTCCCCAGGCTCCCTCTTCCCCAGAAACTCTACCAACGAGTTTGGCATTTAACAAAGATGCCTTCATGTAATGTACTGGAATTCCATACAATAACTCTAATATTCGGTCTCCCAACCGGTCCTTCCACTGGCCACTGCTATAACAAAGTTGCCCACACACTGAACTTCTAAAGCACTGGAAATTCAGATAGATATCCAGTTACACAGTTGATAAACTCTTCTATTTAATCGATAAAACTGGATTTTTGTCTATTTTCATCTTGGACCTCTGCTGGCATCTCTCAGGAAACTGTGGCATGCAAGCCTCCATTAAAACACACCCCTTTCCACATCCTGCGAATCAGAATCCATGGGAGGAGCTCTCTGTAAAGGTTGGTTTGGGGATCTTGGGACACACAGTTTTTCATGGCTGGTCTCATGGAATTAAAAACTCTTTGAAGAAGCTGATCATAATGGTCAGGATAAACTGATGGTGAGTGTCAGTAAATATAACCCAGCCCCATTCTGAGAATTAGCTGTGGCTTCCTGGCAGAGCCAAAAGCCCAGATTATGGGGTAGTTTGTGTTTTTTTCCCAAAAAAAAAAAAAAAAAATTGCTGCTGTTAAGTGTTGAGAATGGCAGCATTTAGGAGATCAACCCATCCCCTAACTAGCTAAGAAATATTCTTATCTAGAAAAAAACCCTTATGAGGCTATGCCAGCCTAGCAAAGTTGAGATATATTAATAGAAGGACAACGTCAGGAACAAGGGGGACCGACAGGGCTATTCTCTCCGCAAACTAGAGAAATGGTCAACATTCCAAGATCTACATTCTCAGAGAGGGGGACTCTTTAAGAAGATTCAGAGGAAGAAACCCAACCCTTTGAAAAAAAATGGGTGAAGATTTTAGACAACAGGAAGAATAAATGTAGACAGACCAACTCACCCACTCCAAAATGTAAAGCATATTTTGCTTCGTTTTTAGCAGAATTATTGATCATTTTAATTTTCTTCAAGCTTTTTGAAAATATATATATATTTAATTATCTAAAGAGTATAATTTTTATAAGTTCTTGAAGTAAATTGACCTCAATCACCTATCTATATGTGGAAACAATTCTAAAATAATAATAAAACTATCTATTTGTTTCTGTCAAATCATTTTATCATCTACAAATTTTCTTATCTTCACAGAAACCTTGATGTTGCTACAGATTATTAAACTGACCAAGACACTTTGTGGCCTTATTAAAGTCGGAGGAGATCTGCTAACATCAGGTTCAAAGAAGCAAACAGGCCTTGAGGGCCCTGCCAGAACTTCAGCTTGCATTTGTGTCTAGTTCTCACAATCACTTCCTCTAGGCAAGCTGATTTCTGGAAAATTCCAAAGCAGTCACAGCAACACCAACTAATAGGCTGTTAATTCTTGAATTTATATCAACTGCACTATGGCCGATAATATCTAAATGCAATAAAAAATAAACGTGTAATTCCTCTAAAGTTGCTTATATACAGCTGCTCCTATATTAGTCTGAAGACTGAAAAATACTCATGTCGCTGCTCTTTTCATTAGAAATCCAGCAAAAGTTGTTCAGTGAAGAATGAACAATCTGTGTAACCACAGAACCGTCTCCAGTAGGGGCTCACGCTGGACAGTCTCACACTATCCAGCATCTCTAATTGTTGCACAAACAAGAGTTCTAGGAAATACCCAGATAAGCCCCTGCAAAAGGCCCACCAAAAGGAATGTTTCGGCCCATCAAGAAACCATCCAGCACCAAGGGTCTAGACCATCCCACCTTCCTTAGGACAATTTTCATTAGCACAGGCTTAGCACATGGTAAGGCGATAAGTACTTGGGACAGAAATGAGGGCAGGGCAAGTCATTTATACCACAGAACAGCATCAACCCTTCTAGGGAGCAGAGAGTCCCACAGACTAGTTACATGCATTAAATTGTCAGCAAGTACCTTCTATTCTATTATTTCTATTGTAAGATGTAGAAAGAAAATTAGCTTTTTCACTATAGTAAATGTTTCCTACTATGTACATGTTGTTGTTGTTGTTGTTGTTGTTCTGTGCCGTCGAGTCGGCCCCGACTCATAGGAATCCTATTTCTCAGCCTGTCTTCCTCACTATTTTATCATATATACCCTAATGTCCAAAATACATACATATATTCATTCATGTACATGTTATACATTAATTAATATAAGCATATAAATATAAGCCTAAATTTTACTACCCTCTTAGAAGCTAATAATATGCCAGCATTGTTTCCATTTTTCTGGTGTAAGTTTCATTGCTGTCTAAAATATGTCCCACACATGATATAAGCTAACATTCTCTGTGAGCAAAAGGCAGATGAACTTGACTGAACAAGTCATGAATCAATCGATCAATTTTAAAAAAAGGTTGGACTATTTTCACTGCAGACTTGACTGGTCAAGCCAATCACTGTAGTGAGAAAAGGCTCCCAAGAGGCAAACCCAGCCAACCAGGTCTTCAGGTCCCAACCCCGCACCCCACTAGCCCTCCTGGCACCCGCTAAGCAGACAGCCACTGGTCTGTCTTACTTGCATAGGCAGGTTATTCGCCATGGTGAAGCTGGGCATGGGTGGCAGAGCGCTGTACGTGTTTGTGAGGGCTGTGTCTGTTCGGCCCAACATGGAGCCAGATGTGAAGGAGGAAACTGCAAGGAGACAGGCAAAGAGACAGTCACGGTGAAAGTCAGGGCCAAGTTTAAACACAGTTAGTAGCAGTTGTTGTATTTCAAATTACCAGGTGTGGTGGGTTGTGGGATTGGTTGGTAGACACTGGTACTGAAACTACTGCTGATAGGAATATGACTAGGTGTGTTGCTGGCTTGTCTTCTCTGATTCCTCAGCTTTTCTTCTCTTCTCCATTTGGCCCTTCGATTAGAAAACCATACCTGGAAATCAGATGGAGCAGCTTAGCCAGATGTTTGGTAGCCCTGTGCCCACCCCCAGCCTAACCCCACCCCTGGCAGTTCTGCCCTCCCTCACTCCTACCTATGCAGCAAAGTATTTAGCAGACTGGACCTGTCACAATTTCTATAAATAAATGATGCTCAATAGAGGCACCTTCATGTCTAGAAGAAGCAAATGGTTTGAATCACAAAGCTTATTAACCACAAGGTCTCAGGTACCTGTATTCTTGCTTCAGGTAGATCTATTTTAGCCGCTAGTCTTTCTCGGGCAAACACATCTGGATAGTGGGTTCTCTCAAATTCTGAAAGAGTAAGTTGATTTTTCTATGTTGTGTCAGGACTACCCAAAATGAGTTGACCAACTCTGGATCAAGCTGGTCCCCCACCCCCACTCCCATCATCTCCAATCTGTCCCCTTGGAAATGTTACTACCACTAGCGTTGACTGTACTTGGAAGAACTTTCCCACCAGAACAATGTTAAGTTTTCTTTGGATTAACATTCAAGGATCCTTCTATGGCTTAATTAGCCAAATCACCTTTTTTTCTCTATAAGAAGTCAGACTTTTAGTCCTTAAATTACTGGTACATAAAAAGAAAACACATGCACATTGAAAAGGTGGCCAGGAAAATAAAGGGGGTGGCGATAAGGAAAGAAAAAAGAAACCTTTCCAGTCCTGTTGGTTAAATCTAGCTCTTTGTACCAGAGGTGGCATTTACTCTGATTCACTACTTCTCTACTTTGAAAAACTCCATCACCTTTCTCCAGGGCCTCGATTTGCTCTTGGGTAAAAGATGTTCTATTTCTTTGTAGCTTCCGCTTTAGCTGAAGTCGCATTTGGGCCTCATCTGAATCTTCTCCGTTGGAACTAATGGAGTTGGTATTCTCTCCCCCTCCTTCCTGTTGTTGGCAGCCATCTGGAACAAAAAGGATAGGATGGTAAGAGAAATTCAGAATAAACTGGAGTCTCCCAAAGAGGCCTAGAATAGCCATAAACTGCAAGAGGCATATAGCCTGAAAACATTCCCCAGGTGACTAACTAACTGTTGGTCTTCTTTTAGCAAGTGATGTTGACAACATGTACTACCTGGCCACCATTTTCTTTCTCTCTGTGTTTTGATTAAGACTGAACAATATACACACTAAATGGCATTTCTCTGAATGACGAAACAAGCACTGAAGTTCTCAGTTATAACAATCCTTCATAACTAACCTTGACTCCCCAAATACCTCACTCGGTTTCCTTTCCCTGCAGAATTTATTTACCTATGTCTGTGTTGGAAAAATATAAGAGTGATGTGCAAGATTTCAGCTGATCTATAATCAGTAATTCCTATCTAATCAATTAAATGTTGATAGGTTTGTAGAAAATGCTATTAAGAAACCAAACCAAGCTTGTAATCTTTTTTAAAAAATATTTATCTAGTTTTTATTTGAATTCTGCACAGTCAATTTCATTTTAAAGGTTGTGAATTTAGAAGTGCTCGCATTGTTCTGCAGTTTTATTCAACTATTGTATGAGTGTGCTTTGCCTTGACACCTATTACGAGCACAGCTGTAATTATATCATCACCAAGAACAGGCTATAATTGCTGAAAATGGAATTTTATATTTAGATAAAAGGACTGTCCATTCTTTGTAATGTGTTGCACCAGAGAAAAGTAAGATTTCTTTTAAATTTTTAACGTGTAATTTTAAAAAAGAAATAGTAGAGAGTTCACTAACTAGCTAAATATGCTATGCTGCAGCTGAGCCCTTGGCATATCATTTAAGCAGTACATTTTTAATTAGGGCATTTCCACCACTTTTAATGTAATTTCTATCATTAAACAGGGGAAAGTTTGATTGTTTTCCCTTGGCTCTTGGAGGGCAAGATGTGCACTTGGGCTAGCTGTCTTGCCTGGCCTGTGAGGCCACAGGCTGTCTGAAGGGAAGGGCTCAGACCCTGACTGGGCCTGCAGGACCACTGCATACTGGGTCCTGGGTCTGGGGTCCTGAGGTTCCAACAGATACCAAAGGGGCTGCCCACCCCACCCCCATATTAGAAACTTGGCCAGTGGGGGTGGGGGAGCGAGGGGCCGCTGGGGGCGCATTGGTGGGAATCGACTTGGCCAAGAATATCATTTATAACCAGGGGACAATAGGCAGTGCCTTCAAAGAGTTCAGGGAATTGTGACAGGATCTAGTGGGATCCTTTCAGGAACTCTGAAATGTTTTAAAACCCCAACTTTCTCCCCCATTTAAACAGGCGGATTCATCGGCACTGGCCACCATATGGGCCCTTGGAGATCTATTGAGATGACCACCAACACTTGAATAGCAAGGGGCTGCTTTTCAGCGTTGCACAATGCCCCGAGAGTAAGGGAAACTATTAAACTCCTGGGGCAGGAGCGTTGGCAAACTTTCGTGGGCAGAATTTTGAGGCCACAATGAGAGCGGACAACAAAAGGATTCTCTTGAGGCGTGCAGCGGACCACATTGTGTTACAAGAAGCCCAGTCAACAGACTTTTCAGTGAAGTGTGTTAACCCCTCTGCTCTGCTATCATTAATCACTGTCCGCAGAGCGGGCGCTTCAATGCTATTTAGGGCGCTTGGCCGCAGGGGGGG